TGACCAACGTATCAACATACAACCTCCTTCCTGAAGCCATTGCACCCTTTCAGTGAGTATGAGCTAGAGGGGAGGCTATGGACAGATGTCTGCAGGTGTGTGTGTGCCTGGGTGTTTGGAAGGGAGCTCAACAGTGCTGTACCCTTGCAGTGGTTTGCAGTGCAAGTGCAGCTGGTCACCAGCAGGGCGTGCTGCAGGAGCCGGCAATCTTCTCAGGCTTTCAGGAAACTGCTGGTGTGGAATCACGGATTTTGCAATTAATGGCTATGAATAACAAATATCTCACAACTTTGTTCTGCTGTCTGCAGCAGACTACATGTTACTGAACCTCCTACAGGCGGGGAAGTAGAAATTGAGCCCAGCAACTGTAGTTTGTTGCATCTCTGTATTTAACGTGTTTGGTTGGAAGTTGCTGATTTAAAAGCGAATTCAAAATTCATTTAGCCCAGGCTCTGGAATAATCTGTAGGAAGATGGGAGCTTTTTTTAAAGAGTGTGAGAGAGAAAAACAGTGGCTCCTTGGAAAAGGATGGAGTGGCTTGTCACTGGACAGTCACTAACATTGTGGCTGCTGAAAACCATCTGTATCTACTGACTACAGGAAAATTAATCCACAGACACCAGAGGTTTATGTCCAAAAAGGAGACAGAGAGGAGTCCTTTTACATTGTTCGAATAAAGGGAGAGGCCATGGGGCATTCCATTGGGGTCTCAAATTTTTGGAGGGCGCAGCCTCCTTTTTATCCTACTTGAGAGGTACAGACTTCCCAGAATGCTTGATAGCTGAGATCTCCCCCAGTGCATAACCCCCCTCTTAATTCTTAACTCTTGTAGAATTCATGGTGTTTCATCAGTGTTCCTTTCATCCTTCAGTGGTATCCATCCCATTGTTTCTGTTACCTCTCAGTGATAGTTCCATCTTATCAGCAGACCCACAGTTTGTAAAGACAAACCTGTCATTGCTGTCAGTACTAAGCTGAGGGCATTACTCAAGTACACCAAATCCTGAGTCTGATGCCTCAAGGGTACGGGGCAGAGATGTTCTGCACTACCACTATTACCCAGGACTGTGCCTCTGAGTGAGAACTTGATATGAAATAGCACTACTGATGTTCTCACTTTGAACCTCCTTACCTGTCTTAGAGCAGCACTTCCAAGAATTCTTAATCCTTTCTTCATGTGGTGAATGGCAGAACAGGCTTAAAAGGAGAGGCACGTGATGCTTTTCCCCCTCCGTGTGTCAGGATGGGTTTAGTTCTGCCTATGTACTCTAAAATAGGCCAGCATGAACCTACAGGAATGACTGAAGAGGTGGAGGGAGTGGTTGTGTGGGACTCCAGAAGGGATGTATTGTAGTTAGTGTGTACTAATATGTCTGTAATTAGCCACTGACATGTGCTCTTGTCACTGTGCTAGTACTGCTTTGTTAGAACAGAAGCACTAAATAAGCTATGAATATTAAGCATCAGTAATTGTACAAAACTAAAGGCTGCTGTGTTGGCAGTAATTAGCAGCTCTGATTTCATTATGGCAGGGACTCTGTTGATGCAATGAGGGAGGGCTGTGCTTGATGGATGGAAATGGAATGGGAGATGGCATTGTAGGACCAGAACTCTCAGCAGCCAAGCAGGGCTCAGTTATTTCACATGAGGGGAAAGAGGGAATGATCCTAGCTGCTTTTGTGCAGTGGGAAGTGCTGTTTGTTTGCAAAGCTCCATAGAACAGCTGTTACTGATTATAGTAGATGGTGAGAGATTAGGTTGCTACTTCTGGCAGCAACTTCCTAAATTCGTCATTAAGGTGTTTCCATTGCCTGCAATGACAATTTCATCCTCTGAGAAGCTTGTGGGGAGGTAGGGTTTTTCCCTAGTGACCTGATTCCTTCCAGCAAATACTGAACTGAATTTGAGTGAAGCTAGAATTAACAAGTTTGTTTCCATGGAAATCTCTTTGACTTGGCTGTTGCTGTACTTTGAGGGCTCTAAGAGTTTGTAAGGTGAACAAATGAATGCACTGGTCTTTTCTAAGGCACCCGTTCTGAGTATTTCTGTGTGAATCCCACAGCAAGAGCAGCTGTCTCACACTGGGATGGAAGTATTCTCCCTTCCCTGCCAAACTAATCTTGCTCTCCTCTCTGCCCACAGTGTCTGCCATTACAGCCGCCTCTTCTGGGAATGGGGGGAAGGTGTCAAAGTGCACGACTCTCAAAAAAGACAAGATCCAGAGAAGCTATCAAAGGAGACTGTCCTGTCTTTCATCCAAGCACACTACCCCTAACCCTGCTCTCTTGAGGGTGCAGGGAGGGGCTGAGCCCAGCTTGGACTCTTCAGGGATTGATGGTACTGGGAAGGCTCCACATCTTCTATCCTGGTATTCTCCAGAGTTGATTTCCTGGAGATGAAGGAACCAGAGGGTGGTATGCAGAAGGCACAGGATGAGGCTTTACCCTGGTAGTGTATATAAGCGTACAGCCCAGGTAGCACCTGGTGCCAGAGTACCCAAGGTGACTCCTGGAGCGGAGGCCTAATGTCCTTTTGTCCTAATGTACTGCATGCATGAGGCCAAAGGGCTGACAGCTTTCTTTGCTCCTGTTCAAACATTCAGCAGGGTTTGTGGAGCTCTGTGTATGCCAGAACTCCTCAGGCTTCTGCTTCTCTTGCAATGTGGGAAGGAGTAGAGATGTTTTGATGGGAGAGCTGGGCAATTGCACATTGAAGCAGCCCTGCATTGCTCCTGGCAGCTGTCTCCTTGGCCTTGTCAAAGGCTTTGACTACAGTGGAGAGTGTTAAGTCTTTGGTGAGTTGTGGGCAAAAGTTATATATTCTTGTTGGTGTCTCTAACACTTCTGTTTATCAAGGCACTCAGCTAGCCACTGGCAATTCTTATCTATGGTTCCCTGTTGAACAAAGGCCAATGCAGGTGTGGCACAGATCTGATATGCTTACACCTCTGCAAGCTGCTTTGATAGGGATTTCCCCTCTCCAGGTTAGTGACTGATGCCAAGCCAGCAGTCTGGGACTAATTTGTGAAAACGTACCATGGCTGGTGTATGTGCTTCATGGTACTTCTGAGACCAAGGTGTTTTGATTCTTGGTACTTAATATTATTACCTAAACCTTCAGGGAGGAAAATAGATGTAGGAGGGAAGACACAGAAAAGCTAAGATGCTGAAGTGTCTGGAAGAAATGATGGGAATTTCTAACTTTAAAAAGACCTAGGACTTTAATAGAAAGATATCTTGACTTTACCCATGCAGGTTAATCAGAAGCAATCCTTGTCCCCTGTGGCAATGGAAAGGTTACTAGACTTTCCCTTTAAAATACCAGAGTGGCTTTGAAATCCTCTGTATCTCATTTGGCTCTGGAACTGCATCTGAAGTGAAGGCACAGAGCTGAGAAGCTTTCAGTTTGGCATTTGTGTCAAGACTTCTCCATGCGCTCCTGTGCCAGGCTCAAAGTTGGCTTCTGTTGCATCTTTTACCTTTACTTCTGACTTCCATGGTACTTTGCCAAGTCTTCCACATAAGTCAGAAGGTAACACGTAGTTGAATGCTTTTGGACAAGCAGCAAGATAGTCCCCTTTTTTGATTTTGGGTTTTTGGGGTTTTTTTGTTAGTTTTTTTTGTTTGTTTGTGTTTTGTTCTTGGCTTGTTTTTAAACACAGATTGGAAGTAGGGAGAAAAGTGATTTAGGGGTTTGTCTGAACTGTGCCTTAAGGAAAGCTATAGTTCTAGAATCTATAGCAGTTGTTTAGACTGTGTCTTTTTCTCCACATCCATATGAATGATTTGAACAAGCCTGTGCAGCAAAACAGAAATTTTGACTTAGACACAGGTCTGTCAAAGCAGTTGAAGGACTGCAATCCTCTTGGCTGATCTGTAGACTCTCCACTCTCAAACTTTGGTAAGACATGTACGAAAGAAACGGTGGCTCTTTCCCCCTAAAAAGAGGTGTGTCATTGGTAGCTTTGTCTTGGCAAAGGCACTTCCATGAGGAATGGGGGGGAATCTCTCCCAGGGGGCAATAAAGTACCTCAACCCCTGGTGTCCAGGCCTGTATACAGTTGGCTTTTTAAACCAACCATCAGTTTGAGTTCTAAGGACCTCTGTGGATTGCATTGAGGCTGTTTCAGTGCCAGTAAAGCATGCTGCTCCCTCTGCCAGGCTCCTTTGCAGAGTGTTATGTCCTCAGCTCAGAGCTTTGACTACTGTGGGCTAGAAGAGTGACTAGGAAGTAGGATCAGTGTAGACCTTGGAGGGTACAAAAAAACCTGGTCAGTCTGCAGGCTAGCTTTCATGAATGGATACTTTGTTTACTCAGTTGTCTCTAGTTCCTCATTTTAATTTGCTTTTATTTTTATTTTTGATGCACTCAACCTTGATTCTAAATCTCCCTTCAAGACTGCAAGCATGAGCCACCAAGCTACTTGCTTCCCTACTGAGGGATTTTGTTGGGAACGGTGGGTGAGGAAGGTCTTGCTGAAGGGAGTGTATATGTATGTTAATTGCACAATGTATTGTTATTAGGCTTTGTATTATTTTGTGTTGACTTCTATGCTTTCATGTTCTATAACCAATACAGCCCCTTTAGTTCACAGCAGTGCTTCTTTCCTTTGCTTCCCACAAAATTTGGGCCAGCAGTATCTGTCAGTGTGGCAGCAGAGAAGTACCATCAGAGTTAAATTTTCAAGGCAGTCCCTTTTAAAGGTTTTTGTGGCAAGTTTAGAGCAGTGGAACAAGAGGGCATTACAGGGGACAGTTTCTGGCCCTCCTGATGGATGGGTAGGCTCCTGTTCCACTCAAAGTACATTCCAGGCCACAAACAGATCAGTAACCCACTGTTGAGAGCTCACTGACCAGGGGGTTAAGTGCCTAACCTAGTCTAGGCTTACCATGGTGCAATGTGTGGCAATGGGGAGATGGTAGGATGAGAATAAAGCAGGGGCTGAGAAACAGGACAGAACAGGGGGAAAAAAACCCCAACCAAATAAACAAAACAGGTAATTAAAAGGTCAAATTATTTTATTTAAAGCTCTACAGAAGCACTTACATTTCTGGGGGTTGATAGTAAATTGTCTTCTGCAAATGCTGATTCTCAAAGGCACAAAATGGTTATTAAGCTCTGATGCACTGGAGAGGTAGGCAGATCATCTCACAGCCCAAGCACCCCACTCTCAATGTGGACGCTACCCACTTGCAGAGGTACTGACATCCCATCTGATTTTGTGGAGGTAGGCTTCCTTTGGTCCTGGAAGTCAGCGTGGAGGACGAAGTATCTTTAGCTCAGCTCTGGGAACATATAAAATCACGGTACCTACAGATTACCCTTTGAATCAATAGCTTGGTCCCCTCAGTTTATGACTGTGTCACAGGAGCCAAGGTGTATATTCCACCGGGGCTGAGCAGAAAGCACCTGTCTGCAATCACAAAGGTCCTCTTCAAAAGGGAGAATGTATTGCCTTCCTGGATCAGGCTCGATGGTCCTGACTGTGTTTTGGCTAAGATGGCACCACCCTGAGCTCTGCTTGACCTGATTTCCAAGAGCAAGTGTGCTGTGATTTCTGGTTTGTTTCCTGTCCTCCTCAATTTGCAGAGAAAAATCTTCCCTGCAACAAGGCTTGGAGACAATAAACAAGAACAGTGATTTGAAAAGCTGATCCTCACCCTTGGGGGAGGCACAATGCTGAGTAGAGGAAGAGCTCCTTGCAGGAGTCATTTGTTCACCAGGGGGAATTCTTGAGTGCAATCACATCGTCCAGCAGGCGTAAATAAGAGCAATCAGCAATGCCATGGCCACAGCAAGGGCAGCATTCTTGCGATTTTTCTTATGAAGCACACTCAGTTCTTTCTCTAGGAAACAAACAAAAGACTGTGAAGGTTCTTCATGTTGCAGCTACACCTCCTTTCAAAACTCTCGTACAAGCACAAAGCTACCTTGGCCACAGGCAAAAATTTTGGGAGCAGTATACAAAGCCGCCAATTCTAGGATGTGCTGAATGGGAAGTAACTGGCCAAACTAGCAGGAACCTTTTCATTTGCTCTCATCCTGACACTTGTGGTAGCTGTGCTTGGGAATACTTCACTGCCAGACCAGTTCCTGTTAGCAAATGACACTGCTATAGGCCTCTACTAAGGATGGACTGTGTCATTAGAATAACTGCTTGTTCCCTAAGAGAATGAAGGAGACAGGAGGGCAGAGAGCTATTTCTACTATCTTCTAAATGTAACAGCCCTGGTAGCTTCTTTCTAGTGCTAAAACTTAAATACAACTGTGGCCACCTTTGAGTTGCAGAATCTGTGTTTCCTTACAGCTCAGAAGGATCAGTGTGGAAAAGGTCTGAGCCTGGACACTCTTATTCTGTTGGAGTCTGAAGCTCTTTGGAGATAGGTAAACCAGGGTGAAGGAAAGCAACCAAAGAACCACAGATGCAGGGAAAGGAAGACACTGCCTACTTCAAGTATGGAGTCTTGCTGATCTCCGTTTCTGTTTGGTTCTCTTTACCAAAGATGAGAACCCCACTCCTGCTAGTTCTGTTCCACAAAACTTTGCTGGCTGGTACAGGCAAGAAGTGAGGCCTCCAGCCTTGGACACTGCATGGCCAAACAGCACTGTTTGGCAGGCAAGGTTGGGTGTGGACTGTCTCCAGAGACACTGCTTTTGTTGCTGAGTTCATCTGCAGAGACTTCACAGGTTACTGCCTCTACAGTTTGAACAAGCAGCCTCCAGCAGTTCCCCAAGTGGTGTTGGTAATCAAAAGAGACTTTTAGCTGTTCTTTCTGCACCATTCTTCACCTAATACAAGCATTCACATGCAAACCACAGAGCAATCTGCTTGAATCTGCAAGGCCACAGAAGAGGTGACAGGGTCACATGATCTCATGCACAGCACTGCCAGCTTAAACTGATGCTGACAATGCCATTGTCAGCAGTTGCAGTCCATGGCCTCAAGTGCATCAACTGGAATAAGGAAAGATTTAATCAGAGGCCATAGCAGTGATATCACTGTTAGGTGAGGCTGTTGCTGCTGTTTGAGCTGCTGTCAGACTCCTCTGCTGATGCCAGCAGGGATGGCTGACTGCTGGCTGGTAAAAGGGTGGCAGCAATTTTCAGTCTTCTGCTGTCTCTAGTGGTAGGCCCTTAGGGAACAGCTTTCAGTCTGTTTAAAGTAACTGTTAGTCTTCTGGAAACAGTCATCTAACATTTGCTGGCCACACCCCAGCTTTCAACACTCTAGACCTAAAACAATACTTGTGCCTCTTTCCCTTCCATGAGCTCTGCTGCTTGCACAGCTGCAGAGTACTGCCAAGCAGGTAACACACTGATCAATACCAGGAGCCTGAAGATGTGCAAAGCAGCACCTCTAGTGGAATGGAAGAGCTGTCAGGTGTGGTATCTCAGAGAGACTTTCATCCTCACTGTCTCCAGCAGGACTTGCACCAAGGAAAGACCCTGTCTCTAGAAGGGCAAGAAGCACATCAGTGTGATTTGCTATGCTCTTGTGCTGAGTGGCCTCATAAATTGATGCAGTAAGAACCTTCCCCAAGGAAGGTATAATTTGCTTCACCTCTGATAGCACTTGCCTTCTTGCTGCTTCTAGGAAAACAAAAAAATGATTGGGGGGTGGGATGTTAAAAGCTACTCAAGCCAATCTGTTAGCTAAGATTATCTGAAGACTGGTAATTTGGGGTATGTGGAGGGGACATTTTCTCTCCTTTGTTAGCTGATCCTTATGTTTTTCCCTATGGAAGTACAGCTCAAGCAAGAGGATGCAGACTCTTATTATAATATGCTGACTACATTTCCATTAGTCTATCTCCCTTTGGATGAAGCTAAATTCAAAGGCAGAAGTCAGAGGTGGCAGGAGCTTGAAGAAAAAGCCAAGCTGCAGCACTGATCCTATCCTGCCCAGAGGGACCATTTTTAATGAAGCTCTTACCATAGTCGTCAGCTTTGGTCATTAGTAAGTTTTGCTCTCTCTCCAGGGACTTTCTGTAATGAGAAGAGGAGTTCATTACCTGCGAGGCACAACACAGCCTATTTCTTTGCTTACATGATGGAAGAGAGACTGTCCCCACTGCTGGGGATATCTGCCAAGAGGATAAGCCCCTCCTTCCTGTTGGAAGCGCGACAGTTCAGAAACACCCAGTTGTGCAAGGAAAGAGATGCAGCATTTTAGGTTATTTTTTCCTTCCCCCAAATGACTTCTTATCTCTCCTTTCAGTGTAGTGTAGGCAAACACCTAGAAAGGGCTCTTGGGTCAGTCCCCTACTCTAGTTCTCCCTAGGTAAGGCAGGAAGTTCTGACACTGGTATGGGATGGGGAAGGGTCCTTACATGCTCTCTGGAGGATCCTGCCCCTCCACCACATCAAGCTTAGTGCTAGAAAGTAATTCTTCTCACCATTTGAAGCTGGGATCCCTTTGTCAGAGGTATCCAATTTACAGAAATTGGTGAACTCAAGAAAACAAGCTGAATCCAAGCCCAGTACTAACAACTTAAACTACCTGTCATTAGACTGAAGATCTATAACAGTAATAGTTATAGATCATAATATAAAGACTAATAACAGTAAAGACTAAGTCAGGCCAACCCAGCCCTTGTCTTAAACTGCATAACATGATTAATTAATATACAGCTTAAAATATAAACCCAAAATAAAATTCCTGAAAGCAGCAGTGTTCCCAGTATGGCAGTAAGGACACGGTCAGTCCTTTCAGACTATGCACATAAATAAACATGCACTAACAAATTATGTCCTGGTTCAGAGAAGGCAGCAAGTGTAACAGAGTTTGTTGTTCCCCTTGGTGCACAGCAAGAACTCCTACAGCCTGTAGGAGGAAAAAGATCCAAATGTATGTGTACAGATAATTAAGTGTAAGGGAGTGCAAGAAAGCAGGTTATGTCAGGAGCAGCAGGAGAAGAAAGGGCTCTTAAAGAAAACTGGGGAAAGGCAAGGTGGAGGAGGAAGTGAGAAAACAGATTTACCAACATGACTGAGCTGCTACTTAGGAATTTGCAGAATTGTGAAAAGAGTCAAGGGAAGAATTTTTGAGAATGAGACATGAAGAAACCATGACAAATGAACTTCAAAGTAGAAAAGCAGAGCTCCTCTTTGTGTGCTATGCACTGAATCAATAATTTTGATCACGGCACCTTCCCTCCAGGGTTGTTCAAAGGGTCTGGAATAGGACAATGGAAGTTCTGTTTCTATTTCCATAAAAGCTGTAAAATTCATAGAAGGCCCCAAGGACCCTAATTCATAATTCTTTGCTCTAGGTCCTATATTTCAGACAGAAACCATCATATAACCCATCCTCTCAAGTTAACACAACTGTAGGTTTGGTTGTTGGCCACCTAAGTACCAGATAAAGAATACAGACAGTATTCAAGGAGAATTTGGGTCAGAAAAGGATTGGTGAGATGAGGAGCTAAAGAAATAAGGGACAGGAAGAGACAGGACCCTGCCTAAATATGGATGGGGATATTAAAGGAAGAAGGGGGAGTGCAAAGGAGAGTTTAACAAAGAAGTTAAACTGAGCCTGATAAGTATCAGGGGAGGGAGACATTGCTGTTGCTATGATGATTTCTAATGGGGTTCTACCAGACAGTATTGTAGAACAAACATCAGGACCATCAGGAACACTCCCTGGGCCTATGATTGAGCTTTCCAGCCTTTTTTTGTTAGGAGCAAAACAGTAGGATACTAGTGACTGAAAAAATGTCCTCAAGCAGAGAGATTTGAGAATCAGCTGGGAGATCTAAGATCTCTTGCTTCATGCTCATAAGAAATAGCAGGTTCTGCCTGTGTCTGCTACAAAATCCAGGCCAAAGTCCTTGCTTGAGTCCCAGCTCTAGAAGCCAACAGTTGCTGCCTCTACAACAGCCACAGATTTCAGGGGAATTGTCCCTCTTAGCTTTCCCAAGAAAAGCTAGAGTGTCAATGCAACTACATCCAGACACATTAGCAACACAGACACAGGTATTTTCCTTCAGTGCCTTTTGCAGCTGGATCCCAGCCTGGTTTGGCCCCCAATAGCAGTCACTGCACAACTCCCTGATTGAACCTTCAGCTGAAGGTGGCTTCAGCAGGGCTTTAGCAGCAGTGTGCAGAAAACCTTTGCCAGACTCAGAGCAGGTTCATAACAGGCCAGGAGCAAGGTCTGCAAATAAACTGGCAAGTTTCAGGCGCTACTTGTCTGGTTGTGGCATAGATTAGAGTCAGGCTGTTAATAAGATACAGCTCTCCAGATATATATAATCACTGCACTTCTCACAGATACAAGTTCCCCAAGAAAGCTCCAAGCTATGGGAAGAAAGTCTTGTCATGGGGAAATCACACATTTCCAGCCCTTCAAGAGCCCTTGCTTGGTCCAACAGCAGGATGACAGCTAAGCTGAAGTGCATATACACAGCTGTGTAAGGAGATGGTCAGCAATACCTTCCTTCGGGGCTGAGCTTCTCCCTGCGCAGTTTAAGAGCCACCTCTTCCATGCTCTGTCTGCAGCGTGCTAGCTTCTCCTCCAATCCATCAATCTGAAAAACACCACACCAGTCACCATAATTTCTTCTCCCAGCTTACAAGGACTCATTCCCATTCAGATGGTGGCAGCTCAGCCAGTACTCTAGCCCAGACAACTAACATCATCATCCTAGATACAGCCAATTGATACTGCCTATTGTGTGGCTGGCCAGCAACCTTTGCTAGGATCTGATCCTGTTCCACCCTGTTCTAGTTTCTTTGCATGTGGGTCCACAAGCAAAGGTCTGATCTAAGGTATCTTTATGCAATTAGAGGATAAAAAGAGAGACACTGGCCTAAACCAAGCCTGAGGGACAGGGTCTTGATTTAGCACTGTGAATAGATGCAGAAATCTACAAAGCACCCTCAGCTGTCTGATTGGATGAAGAGGGAAAAAAGGCATACCTCCAGTCTATTTTACCCAACTGTATCTACAACAGCAACAGGAGACTGCACAGTATGCTCAAGTCAGCATTCGCCACTGCCTCCTTCAACCCATAGCAAGTGTTGGCAGCAACATGTTTCCCTGCACAAAAACACTGGTGGTCTCCTTGTGTCTTCCTCAAGTATCCTGACAGCCACTCCTATGTCTTCCTGTGGAGGGGAGTGCCACAGCTAAGCACAGGAGGGTTGATTTCCTTGTTTGCAGACTGCCCAGGAGGGAATCCTACCATGGACAACGGTTCTGGGAATCATTCCTCTCTTCTGCCTGGCAACCACAGTGTAGACATCTCAAGAAAAACTTTTGTCTTTCAAGCTTGCTTCCAGCAGGGAAACACTGAGATTAATCAGACAATATGAACACAACAACCTAGCCTAAAAGAAAACAGCCTCGGTGCACTAAGGTGGCAATGACACCTCTTTTGAGTTACTTATTGCAACACTTCTGCTGTGCCTAGCTCTCCAGGAAAGGCTAAGGCTGGCAGCATGGCCTCCCTGTGGGAGCCTTCACACACCTCATGCTAAGAGGCAGCACAGTCCCGGGTAAAGGTGGAATGAGCTGCCTGGACACCAGCCTCAGAGGAAGCCCAGAGCACAAACACACTCATAAAGCATAATAAGGGAAACAAAATCAAAGGTAGTGATTAATTATTGCTGCTTTGGGATCAGCTCTGTTCTGATCAGCTTCTGTTAATGAGTTCATTAACAAACTCACACCTTCTGCTCAGGAAAGGCAGGCAGGCATTATAACTAAGAGGGATGGGAGAGAAGAAGCTTGACATAAACCAGACCATGAAAAGAAGTTTAACCAGTCAGTTAAATAGTCTGGAACGAGCACAGCAGAGCTGAGGAGAGGGACACATATAACAAGGCTCAAATAAATCTTTGATTTATCAGCTAGCAATTTCAAAGTCGTGGGTTATTAGGCAATTCTGCCAGTGCTCAAGATGCCAAACTCCCCAGAGGGACGTGCACAGCTTCCTGAGCCCAAGGGAAGCACCAAGGCATATCACCTGATCCCAAAGCTCAGGGAATAGTACTTCTGTGTTTGTCAATGCTTGGGTTTGCCTGGATGAGGAAAACTGTCCTCCTCCAGCTGTTAACCAGCTGTTCATCACTATGTCATCCACTACAACTCAGTCAGCATGATGCATTGCCCCAGTCTGCTTCAGGGTCAAGAAAGGACTTCACTCAGGCCAGCTCTGACCACACTTATCAGCAAGTTAATAGCAGGCTGTGGTATAGCAGAGGTGGGGTGTTGGTCCAGTCAAATTTAAGAATTACCATCTCCCTCACCAGTTCCTACCATTTGCAAATGGCTGTTTCTGCTCCCTTAGCTGTTGGAAACCCTTAGGTGCACACACAAGATGCTTCAGCATGTGTTACCTGGCTCCTCTTTAGCCTGTTAAATTATTACAGTGAACCATGGCTTCTCTGGAAATACATTTAAAAATAATGTTAAATAATACCTTAATGAATTAATGAGAGCTTTAGTTAGTCAGCTGCCAACCCCACCACTAAATTATCCGTGCTACTGCACTCCAATTCTCTCCTCCATGCCTGCTCCTCCTTCTCAGCTGGCAGTTGCTCTCACTAGTATGTTCTCTACCCATACTTCCCTCATTTCAAGAGATTTCAAGAGAGTATATTCTGCCCAGCTTTGTCAGTGCTTTTACTTTCTGCTGACTAAAAATCTCCAGATTCCACATAATACTTTAAAGTTTCAACTGGTTTTACTGCTCTTAAATCAAAACCCAAGTTAGGGTCCCCTGCTGGAGAGCAATAATTTGCTAATAAACCACATGCCCCAGAACTGCACCATCAGCTGTGCTGACCTGGGGGCACAAGGGATAAAAAATAACCAGGAAAAAAAAAAAAAGCAAGGAAGGAGGAAAGGAGGAACAGGAAGAACATGCTGAATTCATTGCTGAATGAAAAATACTTTTCTTTTCAGAATCTCACTACTTCTTTTCTTCTGGCTAGCCTGGATTTTGTGGGGTTATAAGGAAGGACAAGAGTGAGGATTCACAGATGTTACACATTCACTGTGCCTCAGCTTCCCCACTTATAAATTAAGACAATATAATTGCCTCCTGAAGGCAGCTCATTAGATTAAGAAGCCTCAGACACCAACCCAAACTATGGGCAGAGCACTATCTTGATATGTCAATGCCATTGCCTTGCTTGGCATTTAGGATCTGCTCCTGCAAGCCAGGAATCTCTCAGCAACTCAGCCATCCAGGTGACTCTTCACTGCAGGACAAAACAAAGACAGAAACAGGAAATAAACACAGGGGAAAACAAGAGTAATGCCTGGGAACTACTGATTACTCTCTGGGTTGCTGAAAAAACTCCTAGGGGGGGCCATAGTCTATAAAATTGTAGCACAAGAAAATCTCCAGGGCTTTGCCAAAATTCCCTGCTGCAGCTAGTTCTCCAGGAGACCAATCCTAGAAGCAGGTGCCCACCTGAGGTTGCTGTGGATGGAAAGCTTTCCCTCCTACTAAATAATATATGATGTTAGTTGGGGTACATACCTGGGCACGCTGGAAGCCCACAGGAAAACAAAGAGCCAAGCCTGCTTTGCTGAACAACCCCTGAACTTCACACTGCCTTATCTCTTCAGTGGAAATCTCAGCACAGTACCTCCTAAGTTGCATAGATGAACCCTTCCTCCTTTTAGCTCTCCTTTCCTTGAAGAGCACCCTTGTGGGACAGAGTTGAAATGCAGGAAGCAGAAAGCTCACATGACAGCCCCTCAGGTTCACACAGATGGTAGCAGAGTCACAGGACTTTATTCACAGCAACATCTTTAAGTAGTTCCAGTTAAAAAGGGGGAGTGAAACATGTGCTTCACATCCAGGCCACAGATCTGGGCACACACAGCTGCCCTTCTGAAGCTCCTCAGAAGACACTCCAGAAAGTCAAGTCCCAGTAGCTTTGGATGCATACAGGGATGTAAGATCACGTGCTTCCTTTGCTCCACAGATATGACAAGGCATTCAGCTATTTTTGCTGAATTCTGGCAAGACTTGCTCATGATCTGGAAACCCTTTTAAACCAGAGAGACCTGGAATGGACTTCAATCCAAACTGACGTACATCCTTATTACAAATTCCATTTGTTGGGACCATCTTGGGCAGGGAGCCTGAAATGGCTCACATAAAGGCTAACAGAAAAGTGAAAAAGAAGCAGCTTTGCTTATAGAATTGAGCTGGATCCCATTTAATACATTTTGCAGTGAATTAATGAAATCTTTCTTTTCTGCAGAAACACTAAAAGTGCTCTTCAAGAACCAGCAACCACCCTCTGCTTTTATGAATTCCCTAATTAAGATACTGGCAAAGAGCCATATCACACATACGCTGACATCCAACAGCATTAGGTAATGAGGTTTTCATCTTCTGACCCTCATAAAACAGATCAAAGCCAACTGAAGAGGTGGGGGCAAAGCCGAAAACCCCCCCCGAGCAGTCTTTACGTGCCTTGTCACCTGCCAGCACTTTTGAGCCGTTCTTTCAGAGAAGAATTAATGGCTCCTGCATCCACAAATTTGGCTGGATTATTAAAATCAGTCCAGCAGAGACAAATTTTGTTTAAATTCAAGTGCTAGCTTGCTGTTCATGGACACACTTCCATTTTCTCCATGTTCTTGGAATCATTTTGCACACTAGAAAATCATTTCACAGACATTCCACCCACAGCATGCTTGGAAATATTTACCAGACAAGCTATTCACAGCAGAGGATGATCCACCAGCAAAGTCTAAGATGACTCCTAAAGAACAACCCTGCGTGTTGCTAAAGGAGGAAAGGCTGAATCCTACCTACACCTCCTCCTTCAGCCTTGCAGGGACCACTTCACTAGTCAGCACATCCTGCCTCAGTCCAGACCAGTGGCTTTGCAGGCCCATACACAGATGTGACCACAGAATATGTGAGCCAGATTTTCGAAAACTTCTGCAAGAACAGCTTAACTAAGTATAAACTGTGTCTGTCTTTTCCCTATTCTTTATGCTCTTCTATACACACTGCTCAGCCATTGCCCTGTCAGAAACAGCAACACATGTAACAATGCTTTCTAGAAACACACCTGACATTTTGCTGCCCATGCACTGCCTTTAATTTAAGCACTTTTCTGCTTATCTGATTTGGGTTTTTCAGTTGTTGTCTGAGCCGCAAGTATATTCTTAATGGTTACAATATCCTTTGCAAGAAGTTTCACTGCAGGTTACCGGAAGAACCTCCTGTTTGTTCTGAGCTGGTCAGCTGCTGCTTTCGATAGCCCTAACTTTCTATTGACAGTGTATGGTTATTCTTTGTTTAAAGCTACAAATAGCATGCAGAGGATATAGAACTATATTGGGTCCCTTGCAGTCATGTTTGCCAGCTTAAAAGGACCTGGAATGCTTGGTAGGTTCTTGCATAGAAGTTCTACACATCTTTGGTCATCCATGTCACTCTCTTCAGTTAATTCTATTTTCAGTATTTTGTTACCAAATGGACTGGTCTTGCCAGTTTCATTTTCCTGATGAGTTTCCTCAAGCAAGTCCTATGCAGCTCAGCATTGTCAACAGGGCTGCCTGTCAAAAGACTAGAGGTATATGAAAAAAGTGGCATGAATTTAAACCAGCACAACATTATGGAGACCCATTTATATCTATTTAAAACAGATCATATCAATTACATCTGCAATTTGAAAGTGCAAGCAAATCTGATAAGTGTCCATATCAAAAATTGCATTCATTTAGCATCATGACTTCAGTTAAACAAGCATGACTGCCTAGATGAGGCCTTTCAAAGCCAGTCATGCATCATGTCATATTAAGACTCATTTGAAAAGTTTTCTCTACAATCATAACAGCTCAGAAGGTAATACGGAACAGAATAATTTTAAATTATGAATCAAGTATCTTAGTTGTCATGCAAACTGAAACACAGCCCTCTCTTCCTCTGGCATAAAGGGATGTTTTTTTCTTCCTCCCTAACCTCTCTTCAGGAGTGTTCTCATCACTGCAAATGGAAAGAATTTAATCTTGTAGTAGTGTCTTTGCACAGAGATTTTCACCTGTAACGCACAAAAACTAGTAATTCTACAATCCTTTCAAAAACTAGTATGTTCTATCAAGAAAACTTCTAAAAAAACCCCAAAACCTAATCTAAAGCTACTACAAGTCCTCAAACACTTTGCAAGAATTTTCTGTGGCAGGTAAAATCAGTCCCTTCTCATTCTGTAAGCAGCAGGTCCCTAACAGGCTGAGCCATTTTGCCACCTCTCTTTTTGTAAAGTAGGCCCTACCATCTCAACTCTTACTGTCTGCCACCTCTCAAACTACAACCACAAACTACAACCAACAAAACAACAACAAAACAAAACAACCAAAAAAAAAACCCCATCACTGTTCAGTTCTCTCTGGTAGGTTCATCATAGGAAGCGTGGACAGTCAGCATACCCCTCTGGACTCCCTCTGGTGGTTACACGTGGTTTAGACTGCCCAGAACTGTGTTTCTCTAATGAAAACCTAACCAATGAAACACACCAGAAAACCATAAATCAAACTCCCATTCCACACAGCAGGTTGAGAGGGAATCTCATCAATACATATAAATATCTAGAGCTGGGTGTGAAGAGGTTGGTGCAAAACTCTTTTAAGTGGTGCCCAGTAACAGGATGAGGAGCAGTGCCAAACACAGAAGTTCCACCTCAATGTGAGGAAAAACTTTTTTATACTGGAGGTGGCAGAACACTGGAACAGGCGGGTTGTGGGGTTTCCCTCTCCGGAAATATTCAAAATCTACCTGGTCATGTTCCTGTGTGATCTGCTCTAGGTGACCCTGCCCTGGCAAGGGGGTTGAATGAGATTGTAATAAATGGAATTGATTTGTGCTAACTAAATTGTAACTGTTATTAAAGTCATTATTAGAAGCAATCAAAAGAATCAGTGTTACAAGGCAGATGCACCCCTTTACAGATGTTACATGTTAAAATTGAGGTACAGGATGTAGTTTGGAAGATAGGTGACAAGACAAAAACGGCCTTGAGATGGACAAAATTAGAACAACTTTAGGCATTGGGCCTAAAGAGCAGTAAATATAAGACTAATTAGTACACTTACATAACACAATGCTTAGTACACACAAGCAAACCTGTAAGGTTATCCAAAGGACAACGGGGAAGAGGAGAAGCCTTTGCCAAAAGACCACCAAAAGAAGACTGAAGACCCTCTAACAAGTGAGGCATGTGCCATGAAGAAAAGTGACGTAAAGTCAGAAAAATTTTAAATAGGAGGAAACTTATGGGAAACATTTATGAATATGTATAAGCATACAGTATATAAGTTTAGCTTGAAGTGCTTTGTTTTGTACATGAGGTAGGGTGGGAAGCCTCTGTACCCCGGTCGGTTTTGTACATGAGGTAGGGTAACAAGCCCTCCCCGTACCCTGGTCGGTGTTGCTTATACTTTAATCATACTTAATTAGCGGCAAATTATATATATAAATTGTAATTTTTTTCTAAATTGTATTATTTTTACTATACTGTATACTTTTATACCAAATTACTATTTAATTTACTAAATTGTATTCATTTTAATTAAACTGTTATTAACTCAAAGGACCTAGTTGTCAGAATTCTAATTTCCTTTATAGCAAGATGATATCCAGAGGTCCCTTCCAGCCCTAAGGATTCTGTGACTCTCAATTTTATGTTACTAGCTGATGACACACATATGACATGCCCTGCCATCTCCCAGGCCTTTCCATTCTCGTTACCTTGGTCTGTTGTGCATGTTCTCACCTGAAAGGACTTCAGGGCAGAGAAGTGACCAGTGAGATTTACTGAATGAATTCTGCCCCATTTCAGCCATTCAGTGAGGAACGTTCAGGATTTGCTGTCCCCACAGTATCCAAACCCACAGACTTGAAAAGACTTGAGTCCACATAGCACTGTTCAGTGCAGATGCCAGAAAGACATGCTTCAGAGAGACCTTAACTCGGTTCTTTAACAGAAATACAAAGCTTCAACAGAGCTCACCAGCAGCCCTCCTGCCACCCACGAGATCACAGAATCACACAATGGGTAAGGTTTGAAGGGACCATAGTGGGTCGGTCATCTGCTCCAGCCTCAAGAACAGTCATCCTCAAGCACATGGCGCAGGTGGAATCTCCAGTGAGGGGGAGAGATATAAAACACCCAGCCACAATAAAAAGGCAGCTTTGGAAGTGAGGTATTCTTAAACCCCAGGCTTTCCCCTTTCTCCTCTAGTGATTTACAGGCCCCTCACATGCCGGTTTACCACTGGGCTCCTCCCAAGAAGCAGAAGCACACTGCTGATTTCCGGCGTCGCACGCACACAATAGGGCTGGTGGTCACGGCCCGCCACAGCACCCCCACGGGCACGCACACACACACCCACCGCCCCTCACGGCATTGGCTCAAGCGCTCGGCAGGAGCAAGGACACCACACGCCGTCGCTCAAGGCAGGGAGTAAGGACATGGCTCCAAGCCGCCCGCCCGCCACCCCGGCCACAGCAACCACCGCGCCCCCCTCACCTCCCGGGCCACGCTCGGCCCCGCTCGCTGCCTGCCCATGGTCCGGCCCCGCCCGGCCGCGCATGCGCAGGGACGCACCGTGCGCCACCGCCTCGGTGCGGGGCCGCGCTGGGCTGGGCGGGGGCCATGTTGGGCGGGGGCCATGTTGGGCGGGGGAGGGGCGGGCGGCGCTGTGTGCCCGCGCCCATGGGGCCGCTGAGGGCCGCCTTGGGTCTGGCCTTAGATCGGGCTCTATGGGCCCTCTCGGTGTGGTTCCGACACAGCCGAGGGCGAGCGGCAGTTAGAGCGGTGCCTCTCGCGTTGTTCCAGTGCTGCCTGCATCCTGTTCTGCCCTCTCTAGTGGTAGCGGATGAGGCATCGCTGGGGGAGGATCAGCAGGCTGGAAAGCTGAGGTGGAACTTCTTGGTCATGCCTGGTCCTGCCTCTCCGCCGCTCAGAGACCCCGGCTCCGTCGGGTGCTGTCTGGGCAGATCCGAAATGATCAGTCGGTCTTCCCGCAAGTGGAGCCAGCGCATTCCTGGCCACTCCAGACCAGGTCTTGTTGCGCTGGGGGTCGGGGATCACTCGGGAAGAAGCCAACCTCGGAAACACAAGACAAACCCAGAACGGCTGCTTTGTGATAAATGTTAATTTTTTTGGACATCAGCAGGAATTTTTTCACTGAATGTGTTGTCAAACATTGGAACAAGCTGCCCAGGGAGGTAGTGAAGTCACCATCTCTGGAGGTGTTTAGGAAAAGATGATGTGGAACGCAGTGTCATGGTCTAGTTGACGTGGTGGTATTTCATCACAGGTTGGACTCAGAGGTCTTTTCCAACATGATAGATTCTGTGATTGTCTTATTCAGATTGTCCTTGGGGCTTCCTACTCAAACGCTAGTGTTGTGCTAAAGCAGCTGAGGAAAAGCGGGCTCTGTGATCTTCCTGGAGATAGCAGTTTGTGCATGCCAGCCAGTTCAGTGCAAGATGCTAATCATGATGTTATATATGCATGACAACACCTGTTCTGACTAAGAAAACATTTTATTAAACACTGCTATATTGTATTAAAAAAAAAAAGCAAAAAAAGAAAAAAGAAAAAAAAAAGAAAAAAAAAGCACCACCACTGAAATGCATCTATCTTCAGGGTAGGACATGGCTCCTACATGATGGAGAGCAGCAGCGCTATTTGCTGGCAAAAAAGGCTGTGCAGCAGCAACATTTATTAGACATACAGACTGAATTTTCATTTTGACTAAATACTCTCTGCTGACTGAAATTTGGCTAGAATGGTGGGTGTGCAGATGCATGTCACATAAGCCATGATAATACTGATACCTCATTAGTGTGTTCCATTTTTCTTTCAAACACACCCCCCCGCTTCCTTCATTTTTACTGTGTGAGATGGCATGTGTTGGTAACAGCATCACTCTCCTTTTATATCTGGAGAAAAATTAGGGACAGCTGTACTGTTTTCTGCTTCCCAATGTGGTACTTGACTCTGTGCAACAGAGTCTATACTTCTGAACCCAAAGGAGCCAGAACTCCCACCTCCAAGCTGAGACACTGAGATAACTGCTTTCCAAGCATAAGCAGCTAGACAGAAGGCAGTTAAGAAGCTGAATAGGACCCAGCCAGCAGCCCTGGGGAAGCACAGCATCAGGGGGAGGGAAAAAATGATAAAGTGGGAGAATGTTCTTTTTTCCCCTCTTAGACAGAAGACTTGATTAGTGAGTGTAAATACAATCTAAAAATGCATAGAGGTTTGAAGAAACCCATCTGTTATGGTTTACAATGGGCTGAAATAGCCTTTAGTTCAACAGAAAGCATTTTCTCCTTCACAAAGATGAGTATTGACTTGGGGAGGACTGTCAATTCTCACGTACACTTCTCCACAGAGAGACAAACATACACCATTTTATGGGCAGATAACTTTTACCTTTGTTGTCACATCTTTTGGGAAGATAGAAAAGGGGAACTGATTCCTCCCTCACAAGCAAGCCACCATTCCCACCATTGCAAGAGGCAGTTTTCAATTCGTGTATTACTCCTCCTGGCACTCCTGAATCCATCAAGCTGATAACCTCATCATTCCTGTTACCTGATCTTGTGTCTCCGGTTCTGCCCTCAGCTGACATCTTTTCTTCATCCATCCCTGTTATGTCTTCATTTCCTATGTAACATCATTCATGTCATCTACATGCTAAAGCAAGAAAGAAAAACTTCTTTTTCCTCTGCTAATTCGTGGTATTCTTGAAACCTGAAGAACAGATCTGGAAGTTTTCCACATGCGATGACATCAGCTTACATGTTTTAGAATATTCATGGACATGAGTATGAATTTTTTGTACTCATGAGTATGAATTTGAACTACTCCATATCAAGTAGCTGCTACTGTCAACATGCATTCTAACAATGCAACATTTTCTAAGCTGGAAATCAAAAGTTTTTAGCTTTGAGAGCAATCACATTATGGAACACACCTCCTGCCAGAAAGGTAGGAGGAAAAGAATTGAAATAGTTTTTAGTAGGCTCTGGAATGTCTAACAGACAGCCTGTAAGAGAAAGGTGCAGGATAACATATCCAGTAATGAGATCGGATATGGTCCTGGTGAGACCCTGCTCAGTGTCTCTCATTATGCTGTCTCTACTGCATCCTTGCATCCAAAATGAGTCACAAAGTGGTGTTAGAAACTAAAAATACACAACTGTTAGCCTTAAAGGAACATTCAGGAGACACTGCACCTACGTGCCCAGAGGCAGGATCACATATACTGATGCCACCCAAGCAGGTGTTTTCAGTACCTGTGCTTAACACAGCAGGAATGCTGCCACCTCCTCAGCTCCTGTTACACTGCTCATTGACTGGTAGCAGGGAAGGTTTGCCTCTTTGTAACCTAATTAAGCTTGTTCCATGCTGACCTCTTAGCAGCACATATGGGGAGCTGTCCCCCATATCAAAATGTCCCCCATTTTGCAACGATGACCGGGGGACAGCATCTTCTAACAGCCTTATGTATTTAAGGTTCATTATCATATGCCCTCTTCTGTTTTCTTCCTGTTAGACTCAGTCCTCTTCTTTCAATCCTATGCATTTTGCAGCTCTTACACTGTTTGTTACCTTTCTCCAGTCCAAACCAGACTAATCCTATCTAATTTGGGTGTATTGAGAAAGCAAAAAATTAACCCCTTTGTCATATAGGCAGTGTGCCCTACCAATGCAGCCAAGAATGAAAATTGTCTTTTAATGCAATACTTTCACAATGGCAGTTCATATTTGGTTCACAGCCCTGTAACTCCTCCATGTTTCATTAGTGCTGAAGTCTAGGTAGGTGTTACCCATTTCTTTATTGGTGCCTTTAATTTCTTCCCCTTCTCAGTTCAGTATTTTGCACTAGTTTTATGAAATTTTAGCTGGCTGAATGTGAGCTATTTCTCCAATTTTCCAAAATCCTTTTTTCCCTCTTGTGCCTTCTGTCATACATGATCTTCCAGACTTGAGGCCAACTATGCATTTTATAAACATACTTTATTTGATGATCCAAGTCACTGGGGAAACCAGTTGAGAGATCTATTCTTTGTAAGTCCTCTTGATCTGATGACAACCTACTGATAACTAGTTTCAGAGTGCATACCTGTGACAAATATTGTTTCAAAAAGCCTTACTATCAGGATAGCCTGCACTGCTGGGCTTGTTCTCTCTACTATTTCAGTTACTGTGACAAAGAAAACTAAGTAGTTGACGTGATTTGTTCTTGGCTTTTTCTCTACTGGCTTTTTTGTATTACCAGATTATCTTTAAGTGATAACAAATTGATTATTTAATAATTTTCTCTGCATTTATTGAGGAGATGGGAAGGTAATGACTGAGGAATCAAAGTTTTCAGGAAGGTTTAGGGACACTTACTGATTTTTATCAGGGCAGTGCTGACTTTGAGGGTAATTTAATAGAACAGACATTAAGTCTTCACTACTAATTAAGTCTTCACTAGTAAATTAAGCAACATCAGGAAATGTTCCAAGAATACAAACTTAATAATCAGATTTAAGTGTCAGCACACCCCTGGCATGATTTTATTTGGTCCCACTAGAACTGTCCCAGACAATTTCTAGGAATGATTTGGGAGTTATAGGCAAAGGACCATTCCCAATAGGCTGGTCAATGATGTCACAGTTTCAAAGGTGAAGAGAGTTTTATAATATAGATGTGAGCCATTGCTGCTAGTTTACAGGATGTATCTAGGACAATGTTCCTGGGCCCTCCTGATTTATTACCTTCCTACCTCTTTTTGCATTCTCCATCTGCAAGATTCACTGCGCTTTGTAAGGACAAATTAATCAGTCCTCTGACAAGTCTGAGAGAAAGCTGAGGCCAGATATCTCACTTTATTGATGTGAGGCAGTATCTGACCCAGTCTTCACAGCAATGAAGTAGTTGAGCTAGGACTGAATCAGGGGCCTGACTTCTTATGCTTGGCTATACCATGGGGAGCAGCCCTTTGTGTCCCAAGCCCATCCTTCCCCAGCTTGTTAGGCAATGTCTCAATGGACCATGAGGCAGGAGAGGACCTTCCAGGAACCTTCTGAGAACAGGTGTCCCCCAACATAGTTGAGTGTCCAGCTCTAGCCCAATGTTATGTCTCCTCTCCCCTGCCAGCCCTGCTGTACCACATGCAGCTGGCCACAGCTGGGAGCACAGAAGGAAGGAAATCACTGTGTTGTATCAATGGAGAAACCTCTCTGCAGGGAAAAGCAGAGGTAAGAGCAGGCAGAATGAGCTGGCCTCTAGCCATATACTTGCACCAGTGAAGAGATGGAGGGAACCGTCTTGATGCTGAAGGCAGCCAGGAATGGGGAATCCCTGGGACATGATGACTCCTAACACATTGGAATAAGTAGAATATTTCTCTGGGGCAGAAGTTGTCTGTTGACCTCCTGGGGGAAAAAAAAACTAAGTGCAGATGAGGCAGACAACAAGCTGTGAGGTGACATGAGCTAGAACTGGGCTATGGAGCTTAATTATTCCCCCCTTCCTTCTTGTAGGATCAACATATAAATTCCCTACCTTTTCCCCAAGCTCTGTAAACAGGCA